GGGGGGGAGAAGGGGGAGAGGTGAAATACCATGTCTTCTCTGAGCTGCAACAGCAATATTTTTGGACGCTGCCATAGCCTGCCTGATGGGATTGTGAGAAATTCCCTCTGTGATAATGTTTTAAACCATTCATAAATTAAGATGAAAAATCACTACATCTTTAAAACTAGTAAGAGCTTTTTTATGATGTGTTTAGTTTTTGGATAGGTTTTCACATGGATTAGAGATTCTTTCATTTTGCTGTTACGTTGCTGAGTTCCTTACGATTTCATTTTGAAATCAGGACAAATGTTTCACTTTAAATCAAAGTTAATGGATGTAAGTATAGGCAGACATTAAATATCAATCTTGATAGTCCAAGTAGAAACTATGGAAATCTTCTTGTGTCCCTTCTGTTCTTATAGTATCATTATGAGTTTTAAAAGTTTATTTTCTTTTTTTTTTTTAATACTGTTTCAGTTGAGATAAAGTATTCATCTCTTCTAACAGGTACAGGAAACAATGTCTTCATTAGCTGAAGTGCAGCAATTGGAGAGTTTTCTTTATCTCTACAAACAGCATATAATTCAGCTTATGGAATGGGTTTCAGTATCATGTGATTGTTGGACATGCTATTCTCCAGAAATATTACAGTTGGATGTCATCGCAACTCATTCAGGTATGACTTATTTAGTAGTGTGATAGCTTACCTAGTTCTAAAGAAATAGAGTCATGATCTCCATAGCCTGCAGACACATTGTGTTTTATAATGAATAGTGTAATATTCAGGAACTTCACAAGAATGTGATGGAAAGCAAAACCAAAAATGTTGAAGCCGCTCAAATTCCAAAAGACTCCTTGGTTGCAAGGAGCATACTAAAAGCACTTATGTAAAAGTACACTTTCAGGTAAATGAAACAGGTAAGGATTATCGGGAGACGAACTAATGTAGCTTGCGTGTCCAAAAATGTATCTATTTTTTCTATCTATTCGCTAGTCTTATAAAAAATACTATCTTTCTGTACAAACATTTCCTCACTTATGTTCTTCAATACATTACTGTGTATAGATCAGTGAAACACTTCAACATATGTTTCACCTAAGTTCAGATCAGCACAGTGAACGTTCCTCTGATGCAGCTCTCCAGATTGCACCTACAGGCAAGGGACGCAGTGACAGGCAGTTCTTTTCACCTGGACACCCATTTTAAGATAATTAAAATGGGAAGTCCTGTTTATTTGGTTTTTCCTTTCTGCTAGTTAAAAAGGGGTTGTAGACTGCTACTTCAGCTACAGGTGAAGTATTATTATTGCTACCACAGATAGTTAAATGCGGACAGGTATGTTTTAAGGGACTGTATCTTCTGCATTTAATCTTTGAATCTCAAAAAAAGCCTCAACAAACCTATGTGAAGCACCCACTTGCTGCTTTGTGCAGCAACAAGCATAAGTACTTTTTTTTCATCTGTGGAAAGAACAAGAAGTTTTTTCAGTGCAAGATCTCAGAGGCCAACTTTTCTGTATATTTGCACTCCCATTTCCATGACTGAGGGACTTCTAGACAGTTGTCTCTGTTTTCCTTAATGCTAAATAAATCATCAAATGTCTGGGCAAACATTTTGGCTTGCACCCAACACTGGTAATATGCTATTGTCTGTGTTTTCTGTCTGACACAGCAGCTTGGAGACTTTTTTTTTTTTTTTTTCCTTCTTTTCTTTCTTTTCATTCCCACACATGGTGTTGGTTTTAGTCAATTTAATCAGGTTTACTCACTTCAAATTTCTCAGTTTTTACTGTTTTTCAGGAATGTATGTTTAAGCTGAAATTAGCAATGTAGTTTACTTTGTTTATTTTCCATCTGCTGAATTTGCTCTTTTCAGTTAGGTAGAATTGTAGTATCTTTTAAATGTCTCAGAACTCACATGAAGCAATGTATTTTGAATAAATGCTGTGAAAATAAAGACCTATTTGTTGGCACAGAAATTTAGAAAACTGCAGTTCAACACCCTGTATTGCTTCAGTCTAGACAGTGAAGATTTGGCGGGGGGGG